CCTGAACGCGTGCAATCCGGGAGACCAAGACTCGTAAAGCAGGACCGAGTTCTGAACTCTCCACTGATAAGTGGGGCCGACAGCCGAGTGGCGAGCGCGCTGGGGTGTGGTGCATAAGACACCCTTTCGGCCCAGGGTTCGAGTCCTGGTCGGTGCGAGCATTTTGTTGTTGTTTTTTGCAGGGGGGAAGGGGTGGGCTGCTGAGTAGGCGTTCAAGTCCACCTCCCCATGTCGGCTGGTCTTTTGTCCTAACCCTTGGTCCCCGCGCCGCAAACTACTAAAAATAGGAAAAAATGAGCCTCGGTCAGTATTCGACCCGAGAACTATCCGCGTCCCGGGCGCGCGCTCTACCAACTGAGCCAATGATGAGGCTTGTACATAGGGGAAGCTTATCTTCGCTGTGGCTCATACCCCGAAACATATGGCTGTCAGAGGGGCAAAAGGGTTCCGTCGACTAAAGTCGAACAAGCGACTGTTTGCGTACTGGCCAATCACATCAGGTGTCGCACGGCTGTAAAGTCATATAGCCGGCCAGCGGAGCGCGAAAAATACCACCCGGCCGAAATTCGAACCAGCGACCAGATTCATACCGGGCCCGGACGCTATCGACTTAGCCACGACGGAACGATACAGAATACAGCTTTCGGCGGCATCCAGATCTCAGCTGTGACTGATGCCCAAAGACACTTGGCAAGCAGAGCAGGAAAAATGATCGCGGACGGGGATCGAACTACCGACCATCCTCCACGATCTGCCAACGACCACGCTTTAATACGCTCAGCTACCGGCTTGCTCCTTCGGGGCCGAGCGGTCCTGCCTAACGGGTGACAAAAAGCAACAAAGCAAAAATTTGCCCCTCCCGGGAGTTGATCATAGGGCCGACAATTTTGGACTGTCGCTACAACTGTTTAACTACAAATGGGGTGTGTGGCTGGTGGCGTTGGACATCGCATGTTCCCCTATTTGTGACGACATTTTTGTGTCCATGAACAGGGATGATTATCGCTGTAAACGCCTGGAGGGTAGGCAATGCTTTCCTGACTCGGGCCCCCGCGCCGCGGCCCCCTCCCTGCCCCCCGAGCGCTTGGCTTGGACTAGGAGAGAGCTTCGGAGAGGCATTGGTATATTTCGTTTTCGCTTTAGTTCTTAGCGCTGTTTACTTCTGGTTGATATTCTAGCTTTGGCGGAAGTAATGAATTCGTCTATAGACGGTTCAGTTTAAGCTGACTCTGGCACTGTCGGCTGTAGCTACAATCGTATGTAGCTACAAACAGGGACGTCAGTCTTATCAGCTTCACTCGACCAAAAAAAAGAAAAAAGAAAAGAAAAAGAAAACGTTAACATTTCTTTTCAACTGCGAAACGGACCCATGGTTAAGAAAATATTGACGACCTTGTTGTGTCAAATGTTGTCAATGCACCTTTCTGGCTGAAATTTGTGTGCATTACCCTATTGATCATTACTTGTATAATTGAAAACAATTTTTGGCGAGGGCGCTTGGCAGCGGGGAGCCGACTACTCAGAGAGCAAGGTGTCTATTGCGTCTATTGTTGTTCTGGTACCCGGGCGTGGATGTCGTGGATATGGAGCTGCTCAACAGGTGGTGTGTAACCATTACGCTCCTCCCTCTGTCTGGCAGAAACGGGTCCGTTTAAAAAGGGAGCTGAGCGCCTGCGAGACTCCGGGTAGGCTACCCTGCAGTACACGCATGCACTGTGGGTGCGATCTTGCCTACTCATCAGGCGCTATGAAAGCTTGCACGGGCTAAACTCGACATGTTCGTAACGGCGGTGGTGCGGTGTGTGACCCCCCAGGGGTGGCCCACCCGGCCGGGTCAGGTAGGAACTAAAACAGGAGGCACTCAGCACAATAATGTGGACTCCCAGACAATTTTAAAATTTAATAATCAAAAAATATACATTCATTACCTAGTCATTAATTAAAGAGCGGAGGTCGGGGCCTCTCTAAGGGGAACCACCCACAAGGAGACTTGCAAGTGCTAATTACCGATCTTGCTCTAAGGGACCATGCATATATCACGTGGACGCGAAATGTCCACTATTGTCCCCAGGGGGGATGGGGAGGGAGGGGGGATTCAGCTACTGTCCACCACGTGGAAGAAATTTAACAGAAATTTGTAGTAAATATTATAAAATACAGTTGTTTTGTAAATTTTTAAAGTGCATTTTAGCAGCTCATGCTGTTTTGTCCAATTTAAGCTTAAAATGTTGCGATATTTTGAACAACATAGCATAAAGAATCGTCATTCGATTTTCCACATGGACAGGGGGGAAAGGCAGGGGTGGGCAATTGTCCACGTTTGTCCAGGGGGGGCGGGGGATGAGGGGTCACAAAGTGCTCTAAAAGTGTCCACGTCATATATGTATGGTCCCTAACTCTTTATGTTTTCTTCTTATCGATGTAGGTGACGAATGCCCATCAAATTTTTTCCATCCTGACCTTCATATTCCTTAACTACCTAAGGGAGCACAGAATTTTGAAAAATACAAATATTATTCTTTCACCAATAATGAAATATATTCTGACCTGGGGTGAGCTTTTTTTCTTTTTTTTTCTTTCAGTAATTCCTTAGGATGTGAGAACTTCTTCCATCAATTTCTGACCAAATTCAAAACCTTTTCCATTATTCGCTCGCTTAAAGTACACTAGGATATGATCCTCAGGAAAACATTTGATCAGTAATCGTCAGTAATGTGGATGAAAAGCAAAAATACAGATTTGAAGCAAAATCAGGAATAAATACTCGCCCAAGTCTCCTTGTCAGAGGAGGAGAAGAGGTAACTCCTGGAAGAAGGACCAAGCTCCCAGAGAGGCCTTAGGAACAGGGAGACCTCTTAATGTGGAAAGAATAATTTACGATCAATAAATTACACTATTAGGCTCAAATAATTGACACATGACTTGAACATTATCAGAGACTAACTAGCTTCACTTTACTTAAGACTGATGTGATGATAAACAGTTATTTAATAAGTTCATGAGAAGAGTTAATCTAAGCATAAAGATTTTAGTAGATGCTGCATACAATTACATCTCAACTATAATTTAATTTTGACACATGAAACAGAGTAAAAAAATGTTTTTCACTCAGTAAGAAAAATAACATAATTTCTTTCTCTTCATCACAATTTTGATATAAATGCAAAACACTTCAGTACAAAAATATTCAGAAAGTAAGATAAAAAAACAAGGAAAATCATTGCGAGGAAAAAAAATGCATAGGGCGTGGTCAACGGTCAAGGAGTAATTAGTTCAAGAGAAACATGAAATAAAACGAAAGAGAAAAGATAAATGTATGTATCCTCCATTATCCCCTTTAGTCCTCCAAGAATTTGTAATAAGCGACTTATTTGCCGAGCAGGCAAACCAGACAATAATAGCACGGCATTTAGTATGCCACCACTACTTCTATCACTTTCCAGTCTAGGGAAAATTCCACAGTATTTGATTAATTGGAGAGTGAATAGTGGAACAAAAACCGACTGAAATGAAAAAATGAGATACATTAGACAGAAGAAAATAAATGCATAGGTAGGTGAAAATTGAAAGTCATTCCACGCCCTGTTTTTGACAGTATTAAACACGGTGTCCCCGTCTTGACCCAAAAGATTTTCCAACCGCTGGTCAGACCAAGAGGTGAGCTTTTTCAGTTAATTCAATAAGGAGCAAGATCATCTCTATCAACATGTAGGATTTTAGACTTAAAATGAAGGTGTTAAAAATGAAGTGAGGCCTCCTACTTAGTATGCTCATAGTGAAACGAGCACAACTTAAAATGCTTATTTATCCGATTTAACAACAAAACTATGTGTAAAATTGAAATGATCACATTTTGATTTGTTTAAAATTGGTATGGAATGACTCAAGCAGAATACTTCTAGACTTACTTCTCCAATCCAGTATCCGTAACTGGTTGATAAAAGGAGCCGTACAAGAAGAGCTAGACCAATAAGATGGATTCGGGAAGCTATAGCTGTCGATATAAATGATTGAGATGGTTCTTCCTGTTGAAGAGGTACTGAAGTGAATTGATTACTGGACGAAAATGGAAATTCAGGTACCGGTTTCTCCTGTTTAATGATAGAGAAAATTAATCAGACTGCAAATAGTATAAAAATAAGGTTGAAAATGTTTAAAATCATACCTCTATCTGGGATGAAGAAGACACTGGTTCATTAGGTGAGCTAATAACAGAAGGACTTTCAAATGCTTTTGCTTGAGAATTCTGAGGCACATATTCTAAAATAGGATCATCTTTCTTAATTAACGGTGGAGAATAGGCTGCATCGTAGAAGGATCCTTCAGAGGACTCCTTGGCGTCATCTTAAAATTAAACAAAACAAAAACAGACGGTCAAGGGTGATTGCAAAAAAAACACCATTCATTCCATTAGCAGCTAATTCATTCAGTACAAGGGAACTCACCAGCTTTGCTTAAACCACTAATCACACGCAGACGATTCTCAGAGTTTTCCAAAATCCTTCTACGACGAGCTTCACGACGGGCAGCGGCTTCAGCCATGTTGTCACTAATCAATCGTTAATGTTGCATCTGTATATATTCCTAAATAGTTGCGACACTTTCAAAATATAACCATACTTTCAGACAACTATTTCTTTAAAAACAGTTTGCTGACTCTTTTTGACCGGAACGTTTCTCATAGCCGTTGTGGCCCAGTTTGGCCATGTTCCCCACCTGACCTGTTGACAAGGGGTTGTGTATTGTGCGTTCCGATTGATCTGCTTCGTTGTCAGACAAAAATGTCAAACGATAGCCATGTTTTGATTTCCAGGCGAGATTCAGCGAGACTTCTTCGTTGAAGACGAGTGATGTACCATGTAGCCAAGTTCAAGTTGGTAGTTTTTCATAATGAAAAATTTATCCCGTTTAAAGGTTGTTGCCGCCAAATTTAAAACTTTCGATCTGAATTGTGTTCTCAAGCCAAAACGTGCCCCCACAATGAACGTTTCCCGCTTCGACGACTCAAGGAAAAACATTGAGTGGCAAACGCTCTAGAGCAGACTAGGCAGACTAGTGGAGCAGTCCGAGCCCATAAGCCCCTGCTGCATTGGGCGCTGAGGGCGGGCCGCCGTTGCCACACAGCTGCTTGGCGGGTTAGCCTACCCAGCGCGTTGCAGGCGCCATCACTGGTGTAAGCTGGAGCTGGTCCGGGCCTGCCCTAAGTATTTTCGGCTTGATTATATTGTCCGTTTTCAATAATATTCAATTATGTCGCTTGGAATAATGTAATTTATTTTGTTATCACACATATATAAATACAACATCAATTTTCAGTTATACTGAAGATAAAAAGCACTTTGCTAGGGTGGAAACTATCAGTTGAAGAACATTCGTATATTAATTTATCAGTTTACTATGTTAAGGTGATGGCTGGGGATAGAACTGATAACCTCTACACTTGAAACAATCATAATTATGACACATGCATCTATTTCATTGAACAATTGGAGAAAATTAAAACATATTTAAAGTATTGTTTACATGTTTGGCAGTGCAAAGTTTATATGGAATTGCCCAGTTTACTCAAGAATGGCAGTTTTGAAGTTCATTATCCTTAAACTCTATTAACATTGTCAACCACTGATTTTTCTTATATCATTTACTAAGTCCTTGTGTTGAAGAGACAAAAGACATTACTGGAACACCAATAACACAAGTACGTTATTTGGTGTTACAGTAGGTTGCAGGAGTTTTAAATAGACTCAGAATTAGAATTTGTTTTCTTTTTGCCCCCCCCCCCTTTTAAAACCAGACCAAAATTGCATTTCCTTGTGTTGTTTCACCAATCACACTCAATTAATAGCTAAAAGTTGTGAGAGATAAAACAACATTAACAGCCAGACGTTTTAAAACTTGTTCCTTCATTTGATGATTGCAAAATTACAAAATAGGTGATGAGTTGGTTGCTAGAATGACCCAATGCAATCTATATATTTTTGAAAACCGTGTTATAAAAATAACAAGAGAACAGAAAGAGTTTCTTTTGTTTAGAACAAGATTTAGAAAAGGACAGTAAATTATTCATTTGAAATCCCTATATCTTTTCTCAAAGGCTTTTCAGGCATGTAGGATAAAATTTTGTTTAGAGATCACAATGATACAGACATAACAAAACTCCCATCACATAAAAAATGTTGGTCTGAAAGGCAGTTTTCAACATTTTAAACGTTAGTGTTTGTTTTCTTTATAATACATATGTACATTAAAATTAGATTACATAAAAGGTACTCTCTACCCCGTGTTCTTCAAGAAGGTAACAAAGGATGCTCTATAGCACCACATTAAATTTTATACTTGTTCAATGTCTCGGTTTCATAGTTCTGGAAGAGAAGATTTATAAATTTTCTGAGTGTTAAATTCTAAAATAAAGCTGACTAAGCACTACTCTGATGTGGTCCTTATCTACTAACATTAATAACTCAGGGGTACTGAAGAACTAGCTTGTACTGACACTTTCATATTGTTGACTGGGTGTGCCTGTGAAAAATGAGGTGTGGACATACAAGCTGCAATTTTCATATTCTAGAAGCAAAGGCTTTCTGAGTAAATGTTCTCCATTCACTGACAAACTTTTAATTTTGATTGACAGCAAATCTTTTATAAACACATATTTAATTTCATCCTTAATAATGAACTTTGAAAAGATGAAACAATATCACATTTCCTATGAATATCAAAGTCAAAGGATAAAAAAATTAAAGACTATTCGTGGCTACGATAGACAGATTCATTTGGACAAAGAAAGAAAGATTGAATGAAGTCTGTCAGCAAAGCCACTAATACAGTTCATAAGCAAATGATACATTATTCAATACATATCTGACTTCAAGGGTGTAAGAGCAGTAAAATGGGCATATGCTACATGAGTGAAAATGAATTTCATTATTGGTACTATCTGCTTGAATCTTTCTGATGTTCTTGGAGAATGCTTTAATACCAGATAAGATTTCAGGAATGACATATGACATCTAAAACATGTGAAGTTAAGCAGGATTAACATGTCATCAATTCCATTTTGCACTGACAATCATTCATCTTAAAAATACACATTCACTCAATCCCATTTTCTCAGTGAAGCAAAAAGTATGAAATGTTCTTGTGAATTATTGATTTACCCAGTGCTAGAACACTCACAATTTCTTTTATGTGGTATATACACTATTACTCTAATTAAAACTACAAATCAGACTCCTTAAAATATGAATCACTTTGTGAAATACGGATATCAAACAGTGGAGAACTTGTACAAAATAAAATAATAATATTACAGTTAACAACACAGCCAATCTATATTTTAACATTAATTTCCAGTCCACAAGCCTTAACAATAACCACATTTGCTGTGGTCTACATTGGAGCTTTTCATCAGATCCAATAAAAAAAGAATTCTCTCTGACAAAAGATTATAACAACTTCCAAACACATTGGAACAGAGGAATTTATTTGTTTGCTAGGTAGCTCAATATCAGATTATTTTGGTTGTCGAAAGTAGCGCAAAACAACATAGCCCAACACCCGGAATACCACTAGGAAAAATAGTAGTACCAAAGTATTTGCCCACAAAGGCAATGTAGCTCCCTGCTGCTCCAAAATAACAGACACTGGAATGTGAGTTGAGTTGGAGCAAACTTCAAACTTTGACTGTACAGCACACCTGCAAAAATAATGAAATGGAGTTAAAATATAGCACAATAATAAAGATGAATAAAAAAAATAAAGGATTTTCTACGTACTGTATTCTTTCGCCTTCACTAAACTCCACTATTTGCATGTTTTGGTATGCATAATGTACCATTGAAAGGTATCTCATCCACCTTAGCCAGGATGGAATATTGGTAGCCAAATATCCTCCAAATAGTTGAGTAGCAAGTGTGTATAGGGCTGATATTGTTATTGCCACATCCAAATCCATACAGGCAGCACCCACAAAAAATCCAGCACTCTGTCAAAAATAGATAAGAAAAAATTAGTTGAAACTTTGTCAAAAAGGAACAGATATGCTGTTTAAGGCAAGGATCAGAAGTTATTTAAAGAAAGTGATTGAAAACTTACTTGAGCAACAACAGTACTCAGCAAAAGGAAGCCCAGCATTGTGAGAAAAACAGATGTAGATCGAAAACCAAATAATGGATATGATATTATGTGGTAAACAGCTGGTAATGTCATAGTTAAAGGAAGTTCACCAGCCATTTTTGCCAAGTAATATGCTGACAAACGGTAAGAACCTGATAGCCTCTCCTTGTTGACCACTTCTCGTTCTGCAGGAACTGTAGATAATACATGCTAGAAATTAACACATACTTCACAGTGAACAAACACAACTCAAGAAACAAAAATCAACACTTACATGAAGATAAGGCATTAAAAAGTGCAAACAGCATCCAATAATTTGTAGAAAAAAACATCCAAGACTGAATGTCGTGAAGTGATTCCTCTTTGCGCTCCAATTGAAAGTATACATTTCCAACCATAAGTCCAAGACCAATAGTTTGCAGCCAGTACAGTTTTGACAGCATTCGAGGCCTTGATTCTTGGAAGTTTCGTGATGAGAGAACTTTGAATTGTGTCCAAAAGCTAGTAGGCCACTGCCATCGCACATCATCGTCTGTGGTGCTACTCACGGATGATGACCCATGGCTTTGACTGTCAAGCCACAGGGACTTTCCTTCTTCATCCTTAACTGCAAAATTTAGAATAGAAAAAGTTAGTAACATAATTCAACAAAGTTTCCTGGATGGACTATAACTTATTTTCGTAATTATCAGAATTATCAAGATGACCAAGACAAGGCAGGCAAATAATCATTCTTACCTATGGTAGAATATACATGATTGCTGAGGTTGTGACTGTTGTGGTTGCTGACCACACATTTGGTGGTAAGGGAAAGAGGAGGCGTTGAGTTAAGCGTACCATTTGGTGTTGAGGACCACAATGAAGGCTTGCTGAAGTCACATCCTGGTCCGTTGGCAGTGTGGCCTAGGGCATGACCTACCATGGGCACCCTCCCATTACAACCTTGGTGCTGGTAAAGTTGAGCGGGCAATGCACAATAGTCGTTCAGTGCCTCTTGGTGATATGTGGGAAGACTTTTAGCGGCAGTAATTATTTTTTGTTTCATTTCCTCTGAACCTTTCACGCACTCCACTAGAAAAAAAGGTGAGAAAAATGTCATTTCCAAAATAATTTGCACCCAGCCTTAAAATTTTCCACCGTTTTTTTTTTTTACACCCCATTAATTTTACTTAAGAAGCTATACTTACAGACGAAGTCCGCTGGGTTATAATGCGGTGTGACGGTAAGTCCAATGTTGTTGAAGAAGTCGACCACCTTGTTCACGTCACCGAAATACGCGGTGTGTCCGTTGCACAGCAACAGCAGCTTGTCGAACATGTAGAAGATCTGCGAGGAGGGCTGGTGGACCGTGACGACCAGCGTCTTGCTCTCCTTCTCTGCATACCTCTTCAGGCTCGACATGAGCGTGTAAGCCGAGTGGGAGTCCAGCCCCGACGTCGGCTCCTGTCCAGAGAAGAAGAAGAAAAGCATGACTGTAGTGACGTAAGGTCGCATATGGATACAAAACGGTGCGCGAACAGCGATGGCTACTCACGTCTAGAAGCATGAGGGCGGGGTTCGTCAGCAGCTCGCAGGCGATGTTGGCGCGTTTCTTCTCTCCACCGGACAACCCCCGCTTCGTGTAGTCGCCCATTCCTACCAAGCAAAAATGTCAGAGTGGGCTGGTCAGTAACACTCGCGAGCACCGCGGGCTGCCTATACCGCGGTCTGCGGGCGGCGTAGAGCGCTGCGGAACGGTAACAACAGGGGGGAGGGCGTGAGGGGGGAGAAACTCACTGGTGTCCTGGCAGGCGGTGAGGTCCATGACGTCGATGATGTGGTCCACGTACAGCATCTTCTGCCTGCGCGACATGGACTCGGGCAGGCGGAGGCGAGCCGCGTACTCGAGGGTCTGGCGCAGCGTGAGGTCCGGGAAGAAGATGTCCTGCTGCAGGACGTAGCAGATGCGCCGCTTCCAGCGCTTCGTGAGGCGCTCGCGGTTCAGGCGGATGCAGCCAGAGTCCAGCTCGCTGCGGCCCGACAGGCAGTTGAGCAGGGTGGTCTTTCCGCATCCTGTGTCGAGCAGAATAAAGGACCCGTGTGAAAAGCGCGTCGTGATGCGAACAGCTGATGAGGGGCGCAGCGCAAGCGGACCCCGCGGCGGAGCGCGGCGCGGCCTGGGCGGCTTGGGCCGGTCCATTCGGCTCATGCGGCGGCCCCTGACCTGTCCCAATGCTGGCTCGGTCGTTCACTTCCCCCCTCCTACTCCTCCCCCAGACCAGGCTTGGCCCGTTCCATGCCCCGCCCATCAAGCGATATATTCAATGCGGGCAATTAAAAGCAACTGTTTCCGCGTCTCGTCGAGCCGATCCGAGCGAGGCAGGTCAACGCCCTCTCAAAAACCAAACCGCCACGCCACGGCCCATCCGCGCCGCGCCGCCGCCGCGCCGGCTGGAGTCAGAATCAAGCCAACTGGTCGTCGAGCGGCGCGGCGGCGGCGCGGCGGCGGCGCGACGGGGCAGCGCGGCGGCGCAGGTGATTGGGACATCGGCACGTGCCCCGTGTGCACGTGCATGCGCGCACCGCACCACGACCAACAAAGGTGCATCGATCAGACGAGCCGGGCCGGTCCTGGCCGCACAAAAGGGCTGGCCGCACTTTCACCCGCGATCTTTTAATGAGCTCATATACCGGACCTGCTCACACAATGCTCATTGTGGAGGCCCCCGACCGTTACCTCACCCACACTCACCTGACGGTCCCATGACGGCCAGCATCTCGCCCGGCCTGACCACGCCCGAGACGTCCCTCAGGATGCTTCTGGAGGCGACCGAGACGCTGAGCCCGCTGAAGACGAGCTCCAGGGGCCTGGTGCCGGTGAGGTGGGCCTCGCCTTGCTCCAGCAAGAAGGGGCAGTGCAGGGCGCCACCCGCCACCTCCGACCTGCGCAGCGAAGAAAGAAAGAACGAAGTTAGTCACACAGCACGCACAACACACACACATTTGAACACAGGGGACGTCATTCCCATGGGGGTAGGCCGCCGCGGTTGGCCGGGCGCTGAGCGAAGGAGCGATCCGGCGAAATGTCAGCCAGATCTGGGCCAGATGGGGCACACTACACAGCGCTGGGCGTGCCTTCTCGCGGCACGTACGTGCCGTGGAGCACGAGGGCTGCTGGTGGCGCCAGCGCCAGCCTGGCGCCATCGAGCTCCCGGTAGGTAGGCAACCCATTCGACGTCCAGGCACCGGCAGGTGCAGGGAGCAGGGAGCGCACCGCGAGAGCAGCGCTCTACTACTCTGCGTCTCCCTCTAGCCCCGTCGCGTTCGCGGTGACACGGCGGCGAGAGGCGGGGGTGCTCAGCGACCGAGAGCAGAGTGTCCGTGGTGGCGTGTTCGAGTGTTCGGTACAATGTGTGAGCGCGACTGAAATCGGATCGGAATTGGTCACTTATCATCATCGTGTCCGAGCCCTCCCATCTCCATACGTGCACGAACAGTGCAAGTGTCGGCCGCACAAATTGCCTCCCCGCTCTGCTCTCGGTGCAGTAGTGGCGCGCTTTGATACCGTGAATGAGATTGCCGAGCTCGGAGATGACCTCCACAACACCCACACACATTCACACACATACACAGAGTCGTGCCCTGCTATGCTGCACCCTGCAGCACTACACTAGGCGAGGCCTTTCCTAGCCTAGCCCAACCCCGCCCGCCGCAGTGCAAGCACCCATTGTGCATTGTGCGCACTCTAGCCGCGGGTACCCGCCCCGCCCCGCCCCGCCCCGCCACAGCTCGGCGCGCTCTCCTCCACTCGGTTGCAGGGCCGCGGTGCGCGAGCCCCGCGATGCCCTCCCGGCCGCGATTAATCAGCAGGGTATCGTCACGTCCGCGAGGCGCTCCGCGGGCTCCGCGGGCTCCGCGGGCCGGGTGACATCATCGGCCCGGTGCGCTCCCACGCTCGCCCCGCCGCTGCTGCTGTACTAAACGACAGACAGCCGCGCGGCGTGTCGACGCACTTGGCGGCGCGTGACTGTACTGTACAGGCAAGGACGGGCCTGGTGGTGGGCCGCCCTGCGGCTCCTGCAGCCTGCGCAGGCCAGGCCTGCTGCAGGCCGTCACGTCGTTGTTCTTGTTCTTGTTGTCGCTGTTGTTGTTCCGCGAACGACGGCCCTGCGCTGCCGCCGCCGCCGTCGTGGACCGCTATTACTGTACTGTACACTCGTTTGGGAGCGTTTTCGGGAAGTACGCGGACGGGACCGGGCCGCCGCCGCAGCGGACAACAAGCGCAGCCAGGCCGTAAATCACCTCGTTATTTAGAAATTCGTC